CCCCACTTGCGCCAAGCGATTATTTTTTTCCTTTTTTTGCAAATAAAAATAATGCTTGCTTTATGGCAAGGCAAGGCACCAAATTCTCGCGCAAATGGGGCTAAGTGCAGGAAATTTTCTAGAGCAGTGGCGACATTTAAAGAAAAATAACAGAAAAAAAAATACGCATGCAAAGCAAAACGCTCATGTAACTCTTCCGCTTACTGGAAGGACAGTGGGGGGTTTTTTTTTTGAAAAGACAGGGAGAGATAGATGGATGTAGAATTATCAATAATAGTCCCTGTCGTACGAGCGTGAACGTCTTCGGCGACGATCATCGTAGTAGCGTGGTGACGGTGTGCGTCTATAGCGATCGCGATACGGCGGCGGCGAATAACGATCATAATCGTCATATTCATACGGTCTGAAAAACAATTCTAAGCTATTTGCTGCACTGTTTTTCAGCTTTTGCATTTAAACTGCCCCACAGGGAAACACTCGGAAGATAGAACATACCAAGGGAGGCTGCTGCTGCACTCCGCTATTACCTCGCCTTTTCAGTGCAATTAAAAAACAGCGAAACATCACGGCGACATACAATAGTCGGCCGAAAAGTGAATTTAGCCGAAAGAGCAGATAAACCAATAGGCGGGAGCTGACCAGCTGAAGCATATAAGCAGAGGCTGTTTTCCCCTTTCCTTTTATCAAAAAGGACCCTATTTTATCAACAATGTACTATTTTAGCGGGGCAAAAGCAATACTTCTCCCATTCAGACATGTTCTTAATATTAAAATTTCTGTTTATACAGCTAGGGGATGAAACACAGACTGAGTCATAAAATGTCTTCAAACACATGACATTCAAGTGAAATTCTTCTATTTCACACTGCCACTTTAGACAATTCAGGTAATTCGGGGGAATACAGTAGAAAAGGCAAAAGTATTTAAGTATTTCAGCTGTGAGGATGTAAACGACCATTCGGGTGATCTGTAAAGTGATGGCACACACAGGACAAGCGGTGGGTATTAACTGGAGGTATACAACCTAGGACTGAACAGGGCCTGGCATCCCCATGTGTGGGATTATTCCAGTACCGACAGCAATGTGTAATCTCCACACCACCTGTCTGTGAGGCCCTAGTATTTCTGGCACTCTTGGACTTGTATTACTGTGATTTTCTGAAGAATAAATCGTATCAAATATCGTGTAAAACGTGTAGCTCTGAGCCTTTCCCAATAAAGGCAAACAGGACTTTTGACTTCTGAACAGACGCACGAGGCAGGAAGTATGTATACAGGCTTAGATTTAAAAAAAAAAAAAAAAAAA